GGTAGAATTGGGATCATGATAGTGGGTCGGGGGTGGGGGGTGGGGCGGAAGCATTAAAGATCTAGAAGAAAGTTGTATGTTTCATCGTTGCTGTATTGCACTGACTGGCTCGTCTCCTCTCCGCGACCCTTCCGTAAGGGGATGTCTCTGTTGCCTACGGATGGGCTTTGGGTCCCCCCACTCTGTACTCTCCCTCATTCACAATGATAATGATTTTTTGTTCTGGGTCTTTGATGCCTGATACCTGATCCTATCGACACTTTGTATCACACCATTTTTGCCAGTGCAACTTTCTACAGGTACAGTTCACTGGCGCAGCTATTAAAGTGCTCAACTGTACAACTACCGTTAAGCAATTTCTTTGCACTGTTAACCCCAGTCTTCCCCAACCCCTGGGGTACCCACTGTTAGGTTTTGGTTTCTGCCCTTTTGCCTTTTCTTTACCTTTTTCTAGGATCATGGCGTTTGTCCTGTTGTGGCTGGCTTGTTTCATTTGGTGTCTTCAAGCTCCAGCCACACTGTAATCAAGGGCTGACTTTCTTTACTGGCTGAGCAGTCGTGTTTAGTGTATACACAGGCTGCATTTTGTTGGCGAGTGATGGAATTGCCTGTTCCTGTGAAGATAGACCGTCTGGGAAACCCTGTGTAGGGTTGCTGGGAGTTGGAATTGACTCCATGGCAGTGGCCTTGATGTTGATTTACTTTTGGTACGCCAGTTGACATATGTACCGTATATACTCGTATATAAGCCGAGTTTTCCAGCACATTTTAAATGCCGTTTTTGTGGTGAAATTAGGTGCCTTGGCTGAGAGTCGGGTCGCTTATACTCGAGTTTATACGGTAGGTTGTTCTACCTTTTGGCTGTGGTCTGTGGTGCTGCTGAGAACATGGGTGTCTAAGTTTGTGATCGACTCTTTATGTACCTAGAAATGGAATTGCTGGGTCACGTGACAGCTCTGCTTTTAAGGAAGTGCCACACTGGTTTCCATATTAACTATCATTTTGCAGTCCCACAAGGAGTGAGTCAGGCTCCAATTTCCTTATATCTTCACTAACATTTTGTTATTTTTCTTCTGTTTTTTTAAACTCTCAGCCAATCCAGTGGGGGTGAAATTATATCTCATCATGGTTTTTCTAATCGCATATTTCTGATGTCTGTGCTACTCACTCACTTGTGTCCGCAGTGCCCTGGGACACCCCACCCTACCCCCCTTTCATGGCAACATGAATCAGAGTAAAAGTTTGCTGAACATGTATTTTTTGGTTCCTTGTAACATGGCCACTCAATCTAGGGGTTAATAGGGAGCTCACCTCTGAGGCTCATATATCAGATTAAAAGGAGGTAGGGGGAAAAACAGAATTGAAAAAAAAAAAGATTAAAATGAACCTGAGCTAGCGTCTTTTTAACAACGTAATATGTGTTATTAAGGGCTCAGTATATGTATGTTTTAATGGGAACAACTAATATAGATGGAAGATTTAATTCTGTCAGAACTTGACAGGACTGTAAATTCAAATTTTCCTAAATGTTGCCATTGCTTTGTAGGAAGCTCAGTACCTACTTCCAGTAGCAGCACGACCCCAGCCTCGGTGTCTCCTGGAGGCTTCCTAGGATTGGAAAAGTTCAAGAAACCTGAGGGCAGCTGGGACTGTGAAGCTTGCCTAGTCCAAAACAAAGCCGAGTCCACCCAATGTGTAGCATGTGAAAATGCAAAGCCAGGCACAAAATCAGAGTTTAAAGGTAAGGCGATGCCGGGGCAGCACCCCAAGTGCTGCCACACGTGTTGCGTGCGTCCCCCTGGTCATTTTAAAGTGGAACTTAACTTGTAAATAGCTTTATTTCTAAAATCAGTCATCCTTCTTCTGTTGAACGTTCATGTAAAATGAAGTACTTGCCTCATAAGAAATAATAGCTTCTCATTCAAAAAAAAAAAAAACAGAAAGAAAAGAAATAATAGCTTACCATGCATCTCTTGACTTACTGTAAATTCAGATTGCTTACTGGTCAGCACTGGGTTTTCTAACAGCTAAGTAAAAAACCGTTCTCTCTTGTGAGAAGGAGTTTTGTTTTTAATTGTTTACAACCTTTTAGCATTTAGATGAATTCCCTGACTTCTTTGACGGGGCATTTGAACTCCTATTGGATCCTATTGTAAGTAAGCCAGGTTCAAGCTTTAGTTTCCCAGATTGTGGTTGAGAAAAAGAATCCATGTCCTTTTACTATGTTAAGATAAAGGAAGGGCTTTGCCAAATACTCAAGTATCTGGTGGCCAGCAGTTTTAAGTCTTCATACACTAGAATGGAAATTCAAGTACTTCAAAGAAAAACATGCTGGCTGCAGCCCACGAAATGGATTGCATAGTCAAGGAGTACAGTGGGCAGTTGGAAAGACAGCACTGGGTATTTCAGAAGCTCACTGTGCGTTTTAGTCTTTCCCCACTCATCCTGGAGCTGCTTCCTTGTGGCTTCCCCCAGCACTGCAGTCAGTAATCGGGTTCTTTAAATCTGACCAGTGGACCGCCTAGAGGAGTGGTTCTCAACCTGTGGGTCGTGACCCCTCTGGGGGTCGATTGACCCTTTCACAGGGGTTGCCTGATTCATAACAGTAGCAAAATCACAATTATGAAGTAGCAACAGAAATAATTTCATGGTTGGGGGTCACCACAGCCCGAGGAGAACGGTATTAAAGGGTTGCGGCATTAGGATGGTTGAGAACCACGGCCCTAGAGGCAGAGATGATGGACTGTTGTCTATGTTGACACACAGAATGATGCATAGGTATTTTGGCACCTCTTCACGGTGCCTGTATTGAACCTGTCAGTTTGGGGCTTATTTTCTAGTTCCTTCAGCAGAAAAGCATTACATAACCTAAACTTTGAGCTTATCAGCATTGTTATTGTCCACATAATTTTTCTGGCTTTTGGAGGCTTGGTCATGTCATTTTCCTGGCTTTTGAGAGGGAGAGGGAGAGAGAGTTTTAAATTCTTGAATAACTAGTACATTTATTCGTAAAATCGTTATGAAAAAATTCACATGTAAAGTCTTACTTTACACATCCACCTGCAATGTAGGAATGTACGTACCTTTTCTAGCCTTTGCCAGTCTGATAGATGCAAGATGGCATGTCCTGTAGTTGTGACCACCAAGCTGTGTCTGATGCTGAATGTTGGTCAGGTAGGTTCAGGTTTTCTGCCGTTTCTGATACTCTTCAGAATAGGTCTTTCTGAGTGGTTCCTCTGTAGCATTGGCTTTCAAAGCTTGTGCTTCATTAGTGAAGGTAATAGGCATTCACTGTCTTAAAAGTGTCCTCTGTGTCTTTGAAGGTTTGGCCACATCTTCATCTTTGAACTCAACAGCCGCTTCTTTCACTTTTGGGATCCCATCTTCTACTTCTGGGCCTTCTCAGATGTTAACAAGCACTGGGAATTTTAAGTTTGGAAATCAAGGAGGCTTCAAAATAGGTGTGTCATCAGATTCTGAGTCCATAAACCCCACGAGTGGAGGAGGCTTTAAGTTTTCCAAACCAACAGGAGATTTTAAATTTGGAGTTTCATCTGATCCTAAACCTGAAGAAGATAAAAAGGACAGTAAGAATGATCATAATTTCAAGTTTGGGCTTTCTTCTAGTTTAAGCACTCCGGCTCCTTTAGCTCCCTTTCCGTTTGGAGCTTCTAGTCTTGGGCAGCAGGAGAAGAAAGAGGAACTCCCCAAATCTTCGTCTGCAGGCTTTAGCTTTGGCACTAGTGTTATTAACCCCACCCCTACTGCTCCCAATACCGCAGTGACCTCTGAGAACAAAAGTGGCTTTGGCTTTGGAACCGCAGAAACCAAGAGCGGCCCTGTGGCTCCCTTCACGTGTAAGACGGTGGAAGCCAAAAAGGAAGACACACCTGCCCCCAAACTGGGGTTCACTTTTGGCAGTCTCCCATCTGCCTCAGTGTTTGCTTTGGGAAGGACAGAGGAGAAACAGCAAGAGCCAGTCACTTCAAGCTCTCTAGTGTTTGGGAAGAAAGCTGACAACGAAGAGCCAAAGTGTCCACCAGTGTTTTCCTTTGGGAATTCCGAGCAAACCAAAGAGGAGCGTTCTTCCAAGCTGAACTTCAGTTTCGGCTTGGGCAAACAAGCTGAGAAGGAGTCCGAGCAACCGGCCAAGGCCACTTTTGCTTTTGGAGCGCAAGCCAGTACCACAGCTGGTGAGTATGAGGCTTTTGAGGGGGCACTCATACAGGGGGTCTCTGGTATCTTAACGGATATTGCAAGTCACGAGGTGGTTGGTGCTGAACCTGATTGAGAGAATCCCAAAGCTCCTAGCTCTGGAATGGAGCTAAGAGTTTCACACCTCCCTGTGCTCCACAACCTCCCAGTGATTATGATAATGTTAGCTACAGATTTTTTAAAAGTTTCTCATGAATTTTTAAAAAAATAAAGTGCCAGGAAAGAAAAAGTAAAAGAACATTTGAAGTACTTTATGGCTGTAAAAGTTGCTGCCAGGTCGGCATTTTTTGTGGGTCTGCACTTTTGTCCAGCTCCGCTCTGAGGAGGATTGCCGGTCCTATTGATTATCCCCACATGCTAAAGATCATGAGTGTGTCTCCTGAATGACCAGAGAAGAAACCGGTGTGTCTAGCTGAGCTGGGGTGCCAAGCAGAATTTTCCCTCAGTGTATGTTTTTCTAAAAGTGGGTTAACGGAAGCATCTGATGAGATGGCAGATTTTCTAGTCCATGCTCCTCACTTAGCAGCTGAGGAAACAGTGAGAGAGGTTTCTTCAAGATAATCATCCTGTGGCTCTTTTCCAGCTGCATCCCAGAGGGTCCTAGGAATGCTGGGCACACCATAGGGCCACGAGTAAGCCAGAGCACCCTGCTTTATATCAGAAACAATCTGTAGGCAGTACTAAGCAAATGTCCTTCCTTCCTTCCTCCCTCCCTCCCTCCCTTCCTCATCTTTCGTTTCTAGTCATGCCAAGGCCCAGATTTAAATGCCATACCTGGCTTCCATTCCAAGTGTAGGCTACTCCTTTCCCATTTAAGACTGGTTTACTGGCAGTAACAATCAAACCTGTTGCCGCCGAGTCTGTTCTATGGACTCTGTAGGATGGAGTGGAAAGCCACAGAAATACATTGACACCAGTGCTCTGCTACAGAGCAGTTGGTGGGTTGGTATCACCAACCTTTTGGAGAGCAGTCAAGGACTTAGCTACCTTGAACTGAGCTACTTAACTACCAACTAGCCCACTCATTTAGCTATAGAGCCCTGGGGGTGTGGGTGGGAGCTGTGGAGGAGTTGTCAATACATCAGGGATGTCCCTACCTGATGGAAAACATTCAAACCAAATTCCCTGCCATGGATTCAATGCCATCTCATAGCAACCTTATAGGTCAGGGGAACTACCCTTCTGAGTTTCCAAGACTGTGACTAGGGGAGTAGATAGCCCTGTGCTTATCTCAGAAGGAAAGTGGAAGGGCTCCTGGGGCTCCTGGGAAGAGAAAGGAGTCTGATGGGAAGGAAGCTCGTGTGAGTCTCGTGAGCCAAGAAGCTGAGAGGAGAACTGCGCCTGGGGGTGATAGAGCAGCAGTGATGGCAGAGCTGATATGAGAGATAAAGAATAACGGGACTCTCCAAGCTTGCACAGGGTCTTCAGCAGATACACATAAAATTCTGAGAGATACAGTTCTAATGGAAAAGCCACAGCATCGCACATTTATCCATATCTCTCATCCTTCCTTATCTTTGGGTGTTTATAATCATAATTGACATGTGTTGTCTAACAATATAGGAATTTTTATTTAAGTTGATGAAATATTTCCTGTTACAATCTTTCTTTAAAATTGTGATTTACAAACATGAAGGGGCTCTAAAAAGGTTGTGGGAAAATGGAATTTAAAAATTATGGAATAGTCCCACAAATTTTTTGAGCCCCCTTCAAATGTACACACACTAGACATTACCAGATAAAATTAACCTGTGAGAAAGCAGGTGATTATTAAAAGTAATAAATCCTAAAGAAAGAAAAAAAATAGCATTATAGTCTTAAAAGTATCATTGGTGTATGATTCTGTGAACAGATTGGTTAACTGGAATTTCCCAGAACACGGTGCAAAAGTAGCAAGGGATTGATTGCTCCACTGTAGCCACAGTTCTATTTGAATAGTTGTACTTAGAGACCAGAAGTCCCCCCGCCCCCCCCACTGAAAAGAGAAAAAAAAAAAAAGCAAAAACAAGCCAAATTCTGCCATTGAGTGGATTGCAACCCTGTAGGTCAGGTTAGAACTACCCCCGTGGGATTCTGGGACTAATTTTAACAGGAGTAGAAAGCTATATCTTGTTCCCACGGAGTGGCTGGTGGTTTCAAACTGTTGCCTTTGCAGTCCAATGTATAAAACCACTATACCACCAGAGCTCTTCAGAGGTGAGACTAATAATGGAGGAAATATCGATGAAATGACAGAAGAAAATTTCCTTGAGGAGACAAACATGCTGATTTTAAAAATGGGAACGACCTGTTCTTAAGGGAGACCTGTGACATTTAGAACACCCCAAACCGTCCAATCCTGGATGCTTCCGCAGAGAGAGAAGCTATGTGCTGTAAATGAACAGGGGTCAGGTTAGCACCTGCCTTTTGGTTTGCAGAATGAAATGCTAAAAACAGGGCAGTGCTCTTAAAGTATAAATAACCTTGAACATAGAATTCTATAACCAGCGATGTTACATACAGGTAAAAATGCTTGGTTTTAGATATGCGAAGAACCGAAAGTTGAATATGATGAACATTCTTGAGTAATTTGGAAGTACTCAAAGCAAAGTGAACAGAACTAGGAAAAACAACAAAACCGAAATCCAACAAATCAATTCAAGCCGTTTTTTCCTCATGAAATTTTACTGTGGGTGGGAAAAAGCTCTTTAAAATCCTTTAAAGAAAACAAAAACTGAAATTACATAATGTTGAAAGAATAAAAAATTGAGAGTCTGATCATGTTGCTTTGCCAACCTCCCTTCGACTAACGGAAAGTAAGTCAGCACCCTCCATTTTCCAGAAATTGTACTCCTGCCCTCCACACAGTGACTAGCCCTGTCCAGCAGCACTATTGGAACTGAGGCATAATGAGACCAATTTAAAAAGCCCATCAGGTAGCTGAATCTAGGACTACACTACAGAAAGCAATTGTTTCCCCCCAAAGCAGCAGTTGTGTAGGTGTCCAGCATATCTCATTTGTATTTTCTAATATTTCTCATTTCTGTTTCATGAACAGCAACAGAACACAGGTAACCTATTGAATAATTAAAATAACTCGAGGCCCTACTTAATTTTTATTCTGGAATGAAATTATTTCTCCCTTCCTCTTAACCATATATAACTATTCTTAGAAGAATTTTGGTGGAACTTGACAAGCTAAACTGATTCTAAAATTCATACAGAAGAGACAATGTACAATAAGTGTAGGGGAGGTGGACAGGCACACAAGTAGGCTTCTCTTGCCATTATGAGAACACGCTATAAAGCCACAATAGCTAAAACAAGCTAGGGACAGCTGCTCCAGAGCCCTGACAGTGTAGTGCTTATGCATTGGGCTGCTGATCTCAAGGTAAGCGGTTCAAAACCACTAGCAGCTCCAAGGAAGAACTATAATGAGTTACAGCCTCGGAGGTCAGTTCTACCCTGTCCTATAGAGTCACTGTGAGTCAGA